AATTGTGGTTCAATTTGTTATAACGGTATGCGTGTCTTCGTTGCTTGTAATAGATATTCCAAACTCAGGTAGAAAGTTAGTCAGGTAATAAGCATCGACAGCTTACGTAATTATGATACTATTTACGACGTGCCGTAAAAATTTATTATAATAATCATTTCTATTAGACTGGATTATAGACAAGAGTGGGATGCTGATTTTCGTAAATACTTGCAAGGACTTGATAGAATTAAGCCTGTCATACTTTGCGGGGATTTAAATGTATCTCACTTGGAAATTGGTATAGTACTTTTATGTTATGTCCTTGCCATAGCTGCTCTTCAATGCCTGATGTTCATTTCTACTATTACTAGATAACTGAAGCGAATTGTAAATTGATTTTAGATCTGGCTAATCCGAAAACAAATACAAAAACTGCCGGATTCACTAAAGAAGAAAGGGAAGGATTTGGGAAATTATTGGATTGCGGATTTATTGATACTTTTCGTCACTTTTACCCAAACAAAACTAGTGCTTATTCCTTTTGGAGCTATATGTCCAATGCGAGATCTAAAAATATTGGATGGTAAGAAATTTGAACTATTTTGCCGTAACTTCTATGCCGAAAAACGATCGGTATTTGTAATATTGAACTTGTTATCCGTTTGAATATTTTGTACGTATAGGAGACTGGATTATTTTGTTACTTCCAAAAATTTAATACCAAATGTAGCAGATAGCATCATCCGTTCAGAAATTGAAGGCAGCGATCACTGCCCGATTGAACTACTTCTGCAAATATAAACGTTGTCCTGCATTTTTTATATCTATCAAATTTTTATCATGCCTAAGGATGTTGAATGTTCAAGTGTAAAGTTTGCATTTCGCAAGCAGTCATTTTACTACGTTATTCGTAGAATGATCAATGAGAACTCTTAGTTAATATTCTACCATTGCACTATCGAGTAAAAAACACATTATATGACTTCTTATGAGATTACTTTTCTAGTTCTAGACTGACTTCTTGCAATAGAACGTTGACAGCGATAATTTGCCGTAATTGTTAATATCTTTCCTTTATTCTTTTTATTTTTATTGCGGTATCTTCAATGGCTGCTTTCATCAGTTTGGTAATATGTATATTGTTGACAGTCCGTAGAATGCAACATTTTTAAATTATTACCGCCGCAACACTAAACGTCAACAAGCATCATTGCATACGATAATTAAAATGGTTCAAAACGGTTATTGAGATCTTTTTCGCACCAATTGATATACCAGTATATTAGTGATATGGATAACAAAATTAAGCATCACTTTATACAAGAGATTGCAATTAGTCATCCATTTTTACAAGTATTGTATTGCTTTGGAATAATCCTCATCAATGAAGGCTATTTTTATTCTGCGGAGTTGTTTAAAGAGGAGCTAAAATGCTGCTCACCTAACTATTCTTGCAAGAAAGTTGGTCAGATAACGACATAGAGGTAGCAGATGTTTGAATTGACGTTGGCTACTATTGGAAGGATGGCTCTGCGCGACTATGTAATTCCAATTGATACGTTTAAACGATATGGAATCATATTATTATTACTATCGCAGAACTCCAGCGCGCAAGCAATCACTATTTAGAGTGCAGTAAACATACTTTAGTCAAGAATGCAATCTATAATTCCGTAAATAATATTATAATTAATAATTATTAATTCACAATCCACATCAATCTTCGACTCTGCAAATCCTCATGTACATGTTGGTTTAAAAATGAATTTTAGCAGAGACTACTAAAGTACACAGTTACAGTACTAAAAGAATGAGACTGCTGCCCCATGAGGCCTACTACGGTAAATCATAACTGTGACTGACAGTTTCATACGGTACCCTGTCCTTCCTTAACCTCCTTAGTTAAATTGAACTGATTTCCCAAATTATAAAAAGAAAGCGGGGACGTTCAATAGGCCTGCAGTATATCAACACTAATTCGATGTACGCTTCCAGTCTTGCGATATAGCGAAATGATCAGCAAAATAGTCAACCTGCGTATTTCAATGAAAATCATCGACAATCCATCTCTCTCTTTCTTTTCAGCAGTTCCTGCTAAAAGAAAGAGTTCTGAGGTCCCTGTAGTGGCTGCTTTTACTTTTACCTGCTGTTACGATTTCTTTTTTTTAAGATTTACTGTAACACGCAGTAGGAAGAGTTTAGCAGAGCTTGTGTACTAAACTAAACTTTATTATCGATATTATTACCGTTATAGGCAGAGAACAATGAAAATAACGTTCTATAACGGCATACTATAAATACTAACGGACATCGTATCACATCAATCAAATAGACAGCTAATTTCTGACGTCCATCCTAAAGTAGAAAGGTGTTGCAGTAGTTGTGTTATCTAAATCCTAATCTTAAAGACTGCAGTTTGTTTTTAAGTGAAAATAGGAGAGTGTATGGTGGTTTACAAGCAGCCCTATACATGACACAAATCAGTCATCCCATAAAGCATACTAAATCAAGTACCAAATAGTACTTGCTAACACCTGCATGCTTAGTCAGAAAGATTGTGCATATTGATTGACAAAAAACTCCAGTCTAGGAATTATTTTGAGGTCCATTAATCCCTTTAATCCCTTTACAGGAGAGTGTATTAAGCATACTAAATTAAGTAAGAAATAGGACTTGCTAACATCTGCATGCTTAGTCAGAAAGGTTGTGCATGTTGATTGACTAAAAACTCCAGTCTAGGAACCCTTTGGAGGTCCCTTAATCTCTTAACACCTGCATGCTTAGTCAGAAAGATTGTGCATGTTGATTGACTAAAAACTCCAGTCTAGGAATTATTTTGAGGTCCATTAATCCCTTTACAGGAGAGTGTATTAAGCATACTAAATCAAGTAAGAAATAGGACTTGCTAACATCTGCATGCTTAGTCAGAAAGGTTGTGCATGTTGATTGACTAAAACCTCCAGTCTAGGAACCCTTTGGAGGTCCCTTAATCTCTTAACACCTGCATGCTTAGTCAGAAAAATTGTGCATATTGATTGACTAAAACCTCCAGTCTAGGAACCATTTGGAGGTCCTTTAATCTCTTAACACCTGCATACTGATTCAGAAAGATTGTGCATATTGATGGACTAAAACCTCCAGTCTAGGAATCATTTGGAGGTCCGTTGTTGATAAAGGAAAATCGATTGGAGAATGATCGCGCAGGACATGATGAAGGTCCGGACGCACAGCGCATGTCCATCATTCAGTCCCTGGAGGGGCTGGAGTCACAAGACCAAGGCGTAGCCCTGTTGGCGAGTCTAGTCACAGTAGTGTTTCGGACAGTCGAGCAAATGCCGCTTCAAGTTGAAGGGGTGTTGCTGATACGTATCATTTCGGCTAGTCATTGACTATGCAAAATGGATTGTTTATCCTCTGCAAGTTGGGCCAAGAAAAAGCAAACTATTGCCCTACTAGATATGCAGTTGGGCAGCCGGTAAAGTTTATTTGGTGTTGATTCTCCAAGAGGTAAACTGCGGCATAGAAGATCCAAAATGACCATTGCTTACTACTTTTCATCTGTTTCCAGTAATTTGCAGGTAAGGATAAGCTATCAACAGCTTTAGTTAGCTAATTGTATATGTTGATTGAGTGTTTGGTCGTAATCTATCCATTGGGCTAGATTCTAATTCATCAATGATCGATGGATAAGCCCTTTTCCATGTCCAGCTGCTAAAATGGGGCCTGGTCTCCACTCGATCTCTTTTTTTGAATATCATCCGATGACAATTACAATTAGGAATGATATAGATCACTTACTGGCTACGATAGTGTTAACACCAATCAGTTGAAGAGAACTACAAATAGAAATAATATCATTTGTTGTTGGTGTACAACGGGATCGGCTGATTGCCCTTAATTTAGATCATTTTCATAATGAACTATCAGTCCAACGACAGGACTATTTTAGGATGAACTACCAAGCTCATCAAGAAACTTTCTCTACAATGGCGTATACGCTAGCTGTATTTTAAAGAGTCTGATAGTGGATCTCACTTCCCTTATCCTATCGGAAGAAGAAGATC